TTGTAACTAGAACCTCAAACCACTAGCAGATTTTACTTATCAGTTTAAACCGTTTCAGCCATTTTACCTATTAACATGAACCAACGTATTGCAACCAAGACAACTACCAACCATTGTAATTATCACCTATCACCAGTGTTAACCATTGTAACTAGAACCTCAAACCACTAGCAGATTTTACTTATCAGTTTAAACCGTTTCAGCCATTTTACCTATTAACATGAACTAACGTATTGCAACCAAGACAACTACCAACCATTGTAATTATCACCTATCACCAGTGTTAACCATTGTAACTAGAACCTCAAACCACTAGCAGATTTTACTTATCAGTTTAAACCGTTTCAGCCATTTTACCTATTAACATGAACTAACGTATTGCAACCAAGACAACTACCAACCATTGTAACTACAACTTTAAATCAGTGACAATTATTGTAATTTGTATCTTAGATTACTTAGCAAAGGTTAAGTAAGATTTTTTTGCTTCTTCTCTGTTTTTAGGATGTGAAAGAAGATTATGTGTACCAAAATGTTATGTTGCGATTTGGAGACTCTTCAAACCAGGTACGTTTAGTTGTTTGTATTAAGATACTTTTTTTTTATTTCGGAGACTCTTCAAACCAGGTACGTTTAGTTGTTTGTATTAAGATACTTTTTTTTTATTTCGGAGACTTTTCAAACCAGGTACGTTTAGTTGTTTGTATTAAGATACATTTATTTTTTGTTTGTTTCTATGGAGGCTTAAACTTCTTTTGAACCTAAACTACATTTCTAACTAGAGAAGTTCAGTACGTTATATTACAACAATTTTAGAGACACGCTACATTGTTATAATGCATATTCTGTCATTCTCTCTCTAACGGTTATTTTTTATCTTGGCAATATATCTCTGCAGAATAGTTTCCTTTACAAAAGGCTCTGTCATAAGGCTGACATGGACAAAACACACCAATCCTCACAACAGGCTTTCCGTAATCCATCTATTGTACGTAAATGGCGGTTTTCCTGCTGCTATTTCAACAGTCCGATGAAACAAAATTCAATAGACGTTTCGTCCGACGACTTGGTAGGTATATCTTCTTAAGGAATAACATGAATACATGTTTCATTCTCAAGCTTCTTAAGGTATGCAACTGAATAGATATGTCATGGAAGTAACTTGTGACCTTTGTTCGCTTTTCCTGACGCAGGTTACTCTTGGTTGTGTTTGCGTACTGTTACCGTGGGCACATGGACAGCTTTTGATTTGTACTCATGGATTCTTACTTGACCCCATTTTCCTTAGCATGGCTGGGGTACTGTTTGTTGCAGGTTTCTTTCTGAATGGTGTGGTTCCCCAAGTTGATACGTATGTCTTTGTTTTTTAATACCATTAAGTACAAAGGACATTCCTTTCTTGGAACTTTTAAATCCCCAATCTGTGTATATGATATATTTTGCGTCGAGAAAAACTCTTTCATGCTGTTACATATTAGAATTTCAAATGGCCTGAAATTGAGTTAACCGATAATTTTAATTTAGTAGTTAAATTGCACTTTGGATTTAGTATTTAAATAAATGCCGATATATATAGTCAGTTTGTAATACTTGCCAACAAGATTGATACACAGTTTTCTTTTTTAACACAAATACGTTTTATTATACACACACAACAGTACAATTTATAATAACAATTATTACAAATAGTTATTGCAAACAATGATTTATAAACAAAAGTCTCACAAACTTACAAACAATATAAAGTCTTCTTTCTAGTTTAGAACTTCCTTGATATCTTATCGAGGGTTCACGATGAACGAGTTGATTACGAGTTGATATAGGTACAATTCACTTAGTAGGGAGCCAGCTATCCCTGTAGTTCTCGCTGATCACACGCCGATTACAGGTTTCACCGAGGACGTTAAGTAATGTTTTCGTAAAAGTACTAATGTCCGATGTGAATCTACTAAAGTTGAATGATTTGTAATGTTCGAAATTTACAAATGTTCCTGGTCAACATATCTGAAGTTCCCGATTAATAAGCGTTAATCACAGTTATAGCTTACAAAGTTTTTTTAGCACACCAAGTATAACAAACTGATAATAGATACTCTCCTTGGCGCGTCGCGTTGGTTATATTTATAGCCGTGGGAAAGTTTTCTAGAAAATTCAGATTATATAACAATACAATTTAAGTGTTTACGTGCACACATATATTGTTGATTCTTACTCTCGAGAATCATCTACAACTTTAGAGAGTAGGCGGGAGTTTCGCAATACATATTTAATAGTATAAGCTATGCATGTTTCTAAATATAAATCGAAACAAACATTGATATTAAAATAAATATATAATAACAAATTCGTTACACATGCCCTTTTCAAAAACGATCAGTTTTTGGTGATATCACACTATCTAAGAAGTGCTAAACAATATCAAAATGTAGTTATGATACACGCCGTATCACCCTGACTTTATATTGACCGTGGTTGTCACATTACATGATCATTAGCATGTTCAAAATCACTTTAGAATAACGTATTTAACCGCCTGTATGACGTAAGACACGTAAAGCTGGCGGGTTGTTTCCTTAAGGGCTGCCAAATTAAAATAATATAGGGCTAGTACATTATGGAAATTGTGCATCTTTCTCCTTAAACTAGCTAAAACGTGATATATACAGACTGTAAATATCGGAACATTTTCCTATATTAATGATAATATAAGAGTTAATCAGATTTTTATCAGCAAAAGAAAACACACACACACACATACACAAGCACCATTGATAGAAGAAATATTTGTTTTCTTACTCTAAAAATCTATCCGGCGCAAAACATGCTTGCCCTTTCAGTCGTGGGGGCTTTATAATGTGACGGTTAATCCCAATATTCGTTAATAAAGAGTAGCCCAACAATTGACAGTAGGTGATACTTAGCTGGTTGCCTTCACTTCAGAATTAGGGATTGTGGGAGATAGCCTTAGTTAGTCCATGAGTCAGATATAGTCACCGTACACCCCCCCCCCCATAACAATATAAGACTGGTATTTTTATGTTCCTTAGAGTCCATTCAACAATAAAGAAATATGTTAACAGTAAATATATTGGGATAAACTACCTGTTTAGACCCGGTTCTGATAGGATAGATCTTGCAATTAAAAAAAAACAAGGAGTGTCATAGGTTCTGGGCCTATTTTTCAATGTTGTGGAAATGATGACTATGAATGGTTAATATTATTTGAAAGAGGGAACATTTTCCTTCAAAATGGTCTATTATTGGTCTATTAACAATAAAGTATGACCACAGAACAGCTTCTGGAAGTACATACTAATATATTACCTATGTCCGTTTTGAATTAAAATCACGAATTTAACTAATGAACATATAATGTTATTTTTTTTTTTTTAGTTATCGAGAATTGAAATTTGATTATGATGAATATTATAAATGTAAAGTAGGCACATGAATATTTTCATATTTTGTAGCTATATCATGAATATTGGTTGTTGAGAATATATGAAAAGTGAAGATATGATCATATTTGACATTTCTCAGTAAACAAAAAGTGCACATTTCAACATTTTGATAAAAAGAAACAACCATTTGAACAAGAAAACAAAGCTAATTATGAACTAAAGATATTGACTGAAATATATCTCAAATATTGAAAAATTGAACAAGAACAAATAAAGATAATAATAACATAAAATGTAAATTAAATAATCATCTTCACTGAAATGTATCATAAATAATAATAACGGAAATACTGTAAATTATCAGCATAGTATACATGTTATAGGCCCATCTATTCTACATACATACATAATACCAGAATTATTCAATCCTCATCACTGTCCATATCATCTGACAGCAAATCATAATCTGTCCCTCTTAAGTTGTTGTGATCTGAGTCTTCATCGGAAGAACTTGGGTCATCACTTACCCTGCTAACATCTTCCTTAGTGATTTCTGTTGGAAGGATATGTCCTTCAAACCAAAGGAGTTTCATCTTTCCATTGACAACCTTCTAAACATGCTCTTCTGTTGGCCTTGGTATATCTAGTTGAGGGGCATTGGCAGATTTCCAAATGCCAACCTGGTAATTAACCCGTCTGATGTGCTGATGTAACACTTTATTAGAAGGAGGTAGATCACTAGGGTCGATGTTCTGGTTATGACTTATACTGCCCCCCATATTTCTCCTTGAGAGCAGCAAAGTGCAAAGCATAGACACTTTTGTAGCGTGGTTTGCCATACATAACCTATGTCAACTCTTCCAAGCCTGCTTCTACATAATCTGGAACAGTCCATGAACTCCCTAGTTTACCAAGAACTTCTTGGAATGCAGGTATTCTCTGAAGGAGTTTGATTTGTCGCACTTCACTGATAGCCTTGAAAGCACTTCTTGTGACACAATGCGTGAGCAGTACAAAACCCTTGACCATGTTATGTTGATGAGCCTCTTTTTATTGCTAGTGTCCGTGTAAAACATTATGGTTATCTCAAAGTGTGCCAAAAGAAGAATACATCACTATTTGGACTTCTGTGCACACAACTTCATGTCCATGTTCCTGACCATAGGTACAGTACAGAATGACTCGTGTGTCAGTTTCTTCTTGAGTGGAGTAAAAAGACGATATCCCTGTTTTCTGGATTGTTTTCCCATCATTTGATTTTTCAAGCAAGAGTA